TTAACCCTTTGCACTCGGAGGTAATTTTGCTGTAGAAAAGATTTGCAAATCGGATCTTTGAAATCTTTTCAAACTAACGTAGAAATAAAGTATACTATTTTATTTAAATATTCAATGTATTCTCTATTTCACCGTGGCGAACAAATTTATGGAGGCCCATAGATCTGGTCTCTGTCTTCGTTAATTATTTACCAAGTGACGATTATTTAATGTCGCTTCTCACTCGCCACACGATTGCAAAGGGTTAATCGAAACGAGGAAATAATACATATTGTTCACAAATAGAAGACAGTGATAACACATTTTGCATAAATACAGTAGGTTTCCTAATACTTATGGTCGGCACTGTATATTTTTCTTCTTTTTTTTTATTACTTTCTGTCTGCCAACTAAACTTTATAAAGATCTACGTGTATCAGTTGGGTGATGTGCCTTCTTAGTCTTTTATCTCTCTTACATCCTCTCTCTTTGGTAATTTTTTTACATTCCAGAACTCTATTTACCCCTCTGTTTCCCTGACAGTTTTACTCCCTCCTCGTTCTTCCCCTTAACCATTCTGTTACTTCTTCGTTATCTCCACCTTCCACTGTTTCCTTCTACCTTATTTATACCTTCATTTTCAACTCTTCTACATTCTTCTAGCCAACGCTTTCTAGACTACCTAATTCTTCGTTGCATAAAACGCATTTCCTCTGCTCCTCTTTCATCCAACATTAAGAAAAAGTATTTACCGAACCAAAAAGAAAAGAAATATAATTTCTGGTGTGTATTTTTTAAAATTTCTCATTTTAAAATTGAGAAATACTCCTTTTCAGAGATTACTATGACATTTTTATATTTATGCGTACACATAAATACAGCTCAACTTGGATACGTATCTTGCTATATTTATTCGGTTATTAAAGTGTTTCCTAGAGACTATTTACTATGTGAGCCACTCAGAAGCCAAAATGATTAACTCCGCTGTTTAAAATTCTTCTAATCTTAGTAGATATCAAAATAAAGAAAAATACGTAAATTCAATTCGACGGAGTTAGTCACTTTGGCTCCTGAGTGGCTCATGTTAGAAATCGTTAAGAATTCATCTGAGAGATGGGAAGATTTTGCAAAGAGACTTGCAGTAATAAATCATGGAGGAAACATGCGAGAAACACGAGCACCGGCCTACACTGAAAGAAACATGGCGGCTAGGTAGGTAAAACAGATAGTGGCTGGATAACAGGTATATATAAATGACAACAGGTTTTCTATAAAAACGTAAAGTGCAGAGGAAAAGAATACGATCTCTTGACTGAGGTAGAACAATTTTCATATTTCCCATTTTATCATCGATACCGTTGCTATTTTATTTCCTTCAGTTTCATCACGAAAGTAGGCATTACCCCTTTTGGATCAGAAGTTTTCAGTACAGCGATCTTTTAACCGTAACAGTACGGTTTACTCTCGTTCTTGAAACGCGTACAGAAATTGTAAGTCTCCTGATGTGGAATTTCGTCACTTTTTTGATATTCAACGTTACCTTAATGTCATAACTCAGAGACACTCGAATGAATTTTAACACCCGCTATACGATAGTATAGAAAAAATATACGCTTTTGAAAAATACAGGTGAAAACAAACTTTTTCTACTTTAAACTATTCAGATTATGTCTTACATAATACACTAAAAACAGAAGAGATGTTTAGGTGTCCACGTTTTGCTGGGACACCCTGTATAAGAACAAAAAGAATAGCAATATCGTAGTAGTGTTGAATATTACTCGTTGAGTGTCTTAAATATTCTTCAATATCAGTAAAAACAAAAGAGATACCTACTTAGACGTTCACGTTTTGCTGGGACACCCTGTATAAGAACAAAGGGAACAGCAATGTCATGGCCATGTTCAATATTGGGGCAACTTTTCTTTTATTAACCCTTTCGCGACGGCGGAACCAGCCATCGGTACGCCACTAACGAACGGGTCGTCGTGCCATTACTGCACACCATACACATTAAGAGTGTCACGCGTTTTTTCAAATCTTAGAAGATTTCGTTGGAACAGCAAAGGACTTAAGGGTGTATCGGATAAAGGGAATGTTGTTGAGGCCTTGTTCTGTATTTTAAAATAATTCTTCACTTTGAGTTGTCAAGGCGCGAGCCAATGTGACGCGCTTAGTGGATGCCGGATATAACCGGCGCTAGCCAGGGTGAAGCATTTAGTGGATACCGGATATAACCGGCGCTAGCCAGGGTGAAGCATTTAGTGGATACCGGATATAACCGGCGCTAGCCAGGGTGAAGCATTTAGTGGATACCGGATATAACCGGCGCTAGCCAGGGTGAAGCATTTAGTGGATACCGGATATAACCGGCGCTAGCCAGGGTGAAGCATTTAGTGGATGCGGAATATACCCGGCGTTAGCCAGTGTGAAGCATTTAGTGGATGCTGGATATAACTGGTGCTAGTCGCGAAAGGGTTAATTAATAGGACTTTAAAATATTACAAGATTATAAAAAAAATACAGTGTGCTCCATGTAAAAGATAAGTTTCGATATATTTGGTTAACGAACAAAATTTCGACAACTGAGAAATTATTTTCTTGAAATTTGCATTATATTAGCATTTGCAGCCTGTTTTTATCTTCAGTCTTCGACTAAAAACGATTCAATACACACGAAAGAACCGTTTCAGATACTTAGTTTTGATTAATCTCTCAAGAAGCTCGTGCATCTTACAGCTTGATATAATTAACGCCGTAAAGAACTGTATACCTTTCACTTTACAACACTTTTTGTTTCACGTCGCTGGGATATTTCGTTACCGAGATACGGCGATTTTAAGCGACACGTAATTTTCAACGTTTCCCTATCTCCGTCCTTCTCGCGCAATCGGACCTCTCGCTCGCACTCGTTCCCCCTGACCTATCCTAAGCTCGCCACCTGTGCGCTGGTCACCGACTGACTTCTCCGGCTCGCTCGGCGTTTACCTGTTTTTCACTATTGGTACTACGCGACGTGCGTATTTCCGTGGGGGGAAAGTGGGTCACCGCGTTTCCGGGAATTTCGACCGTCATTCTGGATCACGCGCAACCAAACTTTGAGTCACTGTATCTGGGGAACGGATTGAGATATCGAGCTGAAACGAAATGCGTTTTCGACGTTACACTACCCTCTATGCGCTGAGGTGATCTGGACAAAATTTTGCAGCTTCCTCCATTCTACGATGTTCCATTGGTCGAACGGGTTTTCATTGATTTTCGGCTTATTTATTTATTCGTTTATTTATTATACGGGCGAATTTCTATGATACGTAACTTACGTGAAGTTAACGAGGGAAGTTTGGTAATTTGAAGATTCAAAAAACTTTGCAACTTTGCAAAAATGTAGTTTAATCTCCAATCCTTCAAAAAGTGCAATTTTGTTTCATTATTTTCTTTCACTTTTCATATTGCGCCGTTCTTTCTATTCTATGGCGAAAATGTAAGCCGTAGCGTTATAAATAAATAAATACAAATAAGAAATAATTAAAAGAAATAAAATTGATTGTTTTTAGCACATCAAGTTGAGAAAAATATGAGCGTTAAGGGGTTAAGTGACGTTAATAACTAAACCATTTTTTGGTTCAACAATGAAACGGTCCTCGAGGTGAAAACACCTAAACAAAAATCATGGGTTTTCATATTATCGCGAATATTTACGAAATCGTACAAGATATGGAAAAAGGATAAATTCACAGCTGTATGGTTTTTGACTTCCTGCATTGCGATGGTTAAAGAATTCTCGAAAAAAAAGTAACGGGGGTAAATTTTGAAGAAGAGAAAAGTTTTTCAAAAAAGAACTTTGAAGCGTAAAACTGTGCCATTAGAGTGAAAATGGTTGAACAATAGAAGCGTTTAATCGATCAAATATCCTTCTTTTATAATCCCTCGACTTACAACGACGAGTCACACTCGTGGTGCAAATTATGATTAAGACACGACAAAAAAAGGAATGTATTATATTTGTAATCAATTTGCATTTTAACTATAACATCAGCGTCAATTTTTAAGTCTGATAGTGCCGAATGCAAATTGCTCACGATATCTTGACACTGTTTAATTTAACACTGTATTAAAAGTAATTAAGAAATCATTAATGAACAAAACGATGTTTCCACGGAATTAGAAGTTCGATTAAAAGCACGAATTGAGTCTGAGTTTGCGTAACGCAATCAGCAACAGCCGTATAAGCTACTTGACGTGTAATTGTCTGTTTGTCTTTTGGCAGACGATGAGATTGTACATACACACGTGTTTCGATATCTCGAGATTACGTATGTACGTCTTGAGTTCATGCATTATTCATTAGTATGCAGGCACAATTCGTGAATGCAACCCCTCGAGAATTTTCGTACTAAGCTATGCTCCTTGAGATAAGCGCCTCTCGATTCGGTCTATTACTTCGAAATTTGTTCCCAGTAGCTATATCACTTTACGATACGACCCTATTTCGCGTTTCCAGGGAAATCTGCTCGAAAATTATGTTCGTTCCCTTGTTCTAGCTACATCGTTGAAATTTATTGGTTCGTCTATTCCCGGTTTTAATAGAATAATTTCCCGATGCTGTGAAATACGCGATAAACGATAAACACAATATTTCACTTGCGTGATACTGTATTCCAATTCGACAGATTTTCTCACAATTGTAAATAGTTTTCAGTTGAAATGAACCAATATGATGATAAAACTTTCTTATTTCCCGAGGATAAAATTTTCAAAAATATAGTATAGCGAATGATAAAAAAATGATTTTGCCACGGATCTAAATTATATTCAAACGTAAAGACTTCCAAAATTTTCTAGAATTTAGTCAAATTAGTTGCAAAAATTTTGAAAATATCGCCGATGCTTATTTCAAACACAAAGAAAATTGGTTCAAGTTAAAATTAAGTACTGTATCCAAAACAACGAAAGGTGTAGTCACGTGTTGTAGAATCGGTGGTGGGGGGAGTGACCTTGAGAGGCCAATGATTCCGAGCGCGGTATAGATTCGTAAACGATCGTTCGAACGCGTATCGAACTTCGATTTCTGTTTAATGGAGTACGAGAGGGTCTCTGCATGGACAATTGGATTAACGTGGACCGGAAGTTATATCGCAGTTGCAGCCACTAGCTGGACGAACTTCGTCAACTTCCGCGGCGTCTAATTGCGTTTACTGTCCCTTTGTCCCGTGGAAATTGAATTCATTCCGACGTTAAGTACGACAAGTGATACTCTTCGTCGGTCATCCAAGCATTCGTCGCGAAATTAATATAAATTCTCCGAATGCACGTCCATATTCGCAAAAAAAATTCGTACATTCAGATTTTTTCTTTTTGTGACTACCGTTTGATGGTAAAAAAGGGAAGTTTGACTGAAAAATAGTTTAACCCTTTATAACGCCATGTGACATTTTATAAGTTTCATTTCATTTGTTTATTGCTATACTATTGAATTTTATTTTACATAACGTCATTACATGAAAATTTCTTTATAATAATTATTAATTCCTGCTTCTCCCATCGAAATGTAAAAAATTGCAATCAACCGTAATTTTTCTTCCCGTGAACGAAGAAAAATCAGGTCACAGAGGGTCGAGAAAGGAAGAAAATAATAGAAGTTTCACGAACCATCTTGCACTTCGTGTAAAATATCATCCACACTTTTTGTTAATATCGAAAATGAAGTCTCCTTCTCACACTGTACGGTGCACGTGTGGGACCACGTTGGTTTATTAATCTGGATAAAAAATATTACGAGGTCGGGGTCAGTATCTTTTTTATCTTCCATAAAGAAAGGGATGTGCTCTGTTGGGAGGTAACCTACTAATCCCGAATATAATACATGCTACTTTATATTTCTCCGGCCACCGTCTTTCTACCTTTCCCAATCTTACGAATCGACGAAGAAATTCAGAGAAAAGTGTCAAGCTCCGTCGAATTAAATTCAACAAATTTTTTTCATTTACGAAGCGTTAAGCACCGAGCATGCGCTTTTATACTAAGATTGGAAGAATTTCCAACAGTGGAGTTAATCATTCTAGCTTCTTACATGAACTTCTACCAATACGATTCTAACCTAACCTCTAAAAGTGTCGAACGTTAAGAAAATTTTTAATCGTAAAATCTAACATGAATCTCGTAACAGGAGTAAATAAGAAAGGGAATTTTCTTCCTTCCACGATAATAACGAAAAATTTAAAAAAAACACGTTACTTCGTGTTTCATTGGAGAAAAATTGTTCTTCCTTCACTTTTTGCTACGTGTAAACAGTCTTCTTTCACCTTCCTCTCATCGTTCATCCGTAACTTTGTTGGCGAAGAGAAACAAGTTTCAAAGGGTCGGAGAGAGCAGGATAGGAATGCAAAAACGTTCACGCATAAATATGCAAGGAATCCATCGAAATGTGTGAACAGTCGTTCATAAATATGCAAAGCGCGGGAAGTGTAAATCTGATCTTCCTCTGCGTGCGGAAACGGAAGAAACTGGGAATAAGCATGAAAAAGTGGCGTTGCTATGCGGGAAACATTGAGAAATTTTACCGAAGTAAATGGATTATTCAAGAAGATTCGGGTTGAAAATGATACGCTTCGTACCTCGGTTACTTTTATTTTCGTCGCGGTCACGATTTCTGTGTTACAACGTTCCTTCGTAAATTCTACGATTTGTATCGATTTCGGGGGGAAAAGTCGGTAGATCAGGCGGAGAATGGATTTTTCTTAATCTGCGTTTATTAATTCCGGATGGCTGAGCTCGAACGGCTGCGAGATAAAAAGAAGGAAAATTGAGAACTCGTTTGATGTAAGGGAAGATCGCCTTTTTTTCCCTTTGTGCAGTGGCGGAAGATATAAAGCTGATTACTTTTATTACGAACGGGATGTGTTTGCAAAAAACACAATTCAGAAATTATATATATACAATTTTTACAAATAATATGAAAAATGTAACGGAGATTTTTTGCAAATTTTGGTAATTAAGGAAAAATATTAATTTATTATAAGTAATAAATAATAAATAAAAATATACAAGTGTTTAATAGAATTTACCGATATCTTTCGGTAGTTTCTCTGAGAGACTTTGGTACGTCTGACTATGTGCGGAACATTCTACTGGAAACTTCGTCTGTGCAGGTTCCAACGAAAGAAATTATTTCCACCCCTCTATGTATGTGAAAAATAACGAGAAGAATAGAATCGAATTACTGACATAATAATCTACGTGCACAATTCCAGCGATAATACATAATTACGTTGCTGTTCCTCATATAACGTAATACCATTATCGTTTCTCGATAATCATGTTATTACAAAGGTTTTCCTATCGAGCAATCGAGCATTAATTAACGACAAACCTTCATGTTTCACGTAATTACCGCGATATTTTTCGTCGAACAACCTGAGCACATGTGTATCTCGTAATTTCACTCCTCTGTAATATTTCTAAGATAATACTCGTTCGCGAAACAATTACATTACCTTCTCGGAAAGGAGAAATGAAATGTCATAATTCTTCAACTAGTGAAACAAATAATTCGTAATTTCATTTTCACCACTCGGTATCTTGGAACTTTTCCATTACACGTCTGATGTTTCAACGTCTGTCCAATCTACTTTTTTCTTTTTTTTTTTCAAGAACCATCCAATTTACGGGACAATTTCTTTCTTTTCGTTCGAACGAAAAATTAAAAAAATGGAATAAAAAAAAATAGAAGAGGAGGATTTCTCACGGTTCTACGTACTCGTTGCCACTCCACCTGGCTATTTTCACATATTTATTACGCAACTTCGTTTCACAGTGACAGCCTCTATTCTGTCTTCGTACGCCGGTTCTCGTTCCATCGCACGTTCTACCTTTATTACGCGTTATATATATACACACCAGGACTGTCAACCCGGCACGTTTTCCCTTCAACCTTTACACTGTCATCATCCTTGATCCCCGACCTTAGTCCCTCATTCAAATCACATCACTATCAACTGAATAATCCTCCGCCATTCGACGTACGTTTCTCGAGAAACGATCGGATTTCGTTCGCGACTTCATCACGACACTATCACACCACCGTCTTTCCTTTAACACGTTTCCGTAATACGCAGTTTGCCTTTGTGAAATAGTTTTTTAGAGTTCTATTTGTAGGATCTACATTGTTAGAATGTTTTTCGTATAATATGTTGTTTATAATGATGTCCTGCGGTAGTGACCATTGAGAGAATACGATAAATGAATGTAATATTAATTTGACATCATTTACAATGCTAAGATAATTGTTATGCGACTCTGACAATTGTAAAATGAATCGTAACTCTTTTGGACAACTCAGGTAACTGTTAAACCAATTATACAACGCTCTTTGGAACACTCTGTGGCGGTACTTCCTATGTTTCGCCACTAGAGGGACGGACTAACATTAACCTTTCTCGTTAGTCCTCGTTAAGGCTGCTATTACTATATATACAACTTTTAAGCTGAGTTTAACCACGTCCAAGGAATGGGTTTCGTAGATAGTGTTACTGACGTGTCCAGTAGGAAGTCAAGAACGAAATGTATCTTTCCTTTTCAACCGCCATAACTCTTACAACTCTCAGGCAACACTTAAACCAATCATACAACAAAGCTCTGCATGCAACACTATCTTACAACACTCTGATGATTCTTACAACGCTCCGACTCTATCTGCAACACTCTGAGGACTCTATCTACAACATTCTGATGACTCTTACAACGCTCCGACTCTATCTGCAACACTGTGACGACTACTCATCTATAAGACTTTAATTACTTTATCTGCAACTCTGGCTCTATCTGAAACACTTTGACGACTCTTGTCTAGCACTGTGACGACTCAATCTATTACATAACACTCTGATGACTCTATCTGCAATACTCTGAAAACTTTCACCTCATATGCGTGTATTTACAAAAAGAATTAGACGAATATTTTCATTCATTCAAGTAGGTACTGTAAAATTTGACAAAGTGGAGATTTCATATCAAATAAATATCTGTTCGATGCACTTACACTGAGGTCCTTTAAGTTGACACACGTCGTGTAATTGCTCCAGACTTGATGGGACTCTGGATGTCGAAACCAGGTACCATTCGATTCGCAGTATTTGTGCGCTCTCACTGAAACAAATAAATTCAATTAAATAAAGGAATCTGTTGATACAACCGCAACGTACAAATTCCTATAAAAAACATAAATGTTTCATTATAATACTTCTAATACATCTAACACTTCTAATTAACTTTTCAGAAGTAAGAAAAGACTATTTTGTTTTTCAAAAATTAACGACAATAATGTTGTTTTCAAAATTTTTATGAAATATGCGAACCTTCAGTAATATAATTTTCTTTATCAATAGTAATTTATGATATTTCTACTTTAAATTTTGACTTATGTTGTTTCTCTACTAAACCATACGAATTACTCAAAATAAACATAGCAAAACTTACTTAATACGATTGTATTTCAATACAAATTTGCAAAACTGCACATAAAGCTACAATATTAAACCTGTAATCGTCATAATGTGATTTATTCAGTTCCTGCATTCATTTGATGCTTTCAAATGTGAATAACCTCATTCAGTGCACAATTAAATTCCGAAAAAAAAAATTAACGTAACTTTCGAAGAAGAACGAAGAAGAGAAGAAAACGGAGCTTTCTTCTCGGTATAGAACAAAGAAGAAGAAAAATGAATCAAATCTATCTTGCTTCTCTTTCGTTTTCTCGTTGGCGAATGACAAAAGACGTTTCTCAACTGCCTGCACTTTCACTTGACACTTTTCTTTTCCTACAGTTACTGCGACAAACAAGACAATTTCGTTGCTTCAAAGTGAAAAAATAAGCTGGAACAAATAGGTGGTGGAAGCCTATTCGCTTTGTCAATTATTAGCTTTTTCCTAAGAATAATATTTCACCTAAAAGGGTGACCAGATTAGCGTAAAAAAAAAAAAACGGTTAATTGTTCAAATCACCAGCAGGAAACGACGAATTTGTCTGCTAGAATAACAAAAATCTTCTAAACTTTTTATGAAATAATTTTGAATTTTATTAATTCTCCTTCGTCACTTTTAATCTTCCTAATTCCCAGCGATTTCTCATTCACTTTTCAAACTTACGCGATAACCCAACATAAATTTCTAATCTTTCTCAATTAAATCTAGCCTCCAGCGACCACTTTGAATCCTTTCATTCTGTGTCATTGTTCTGTGTCCTCAATTTTTTGTTTTTCACTCAACAATACTCGAATTCAACAGAATGGAATACCTGTTACTCGTCGTTTCAAGTATCATCACTATTTTTGTTTACCCAACGCTTTCCACAGTTTTCCTCGAATAAACCAAAATTGCCAACAGTCTACTATTGGCAAATTGTAAAAAGTACATTGTCTTTTAAGAAAAAAATTGTTAGCGAAACGTTCTTACGGAGTTTGAATTTAGCGCGTTAATTCATTACACTGACATAATTACAATTCAAATTGCAAAGTATCGCATGTATATATTCACATTAACACTTAACACAGAATTTTACATTTCTTACCCTAAATTGCAGAAATTAAGATACTTTTCTCCAAGTGTGTAGCAACTTTTGTTGAAACAGAGAAATAATTTCTTTTTTCACTAATCTTTCTAATTTCTTTATGTAGCATACCGAAATAATAGGGGAAAAAGTATACTACTTTTCAACTCTGGTTGTTCTTGCGCTAACAATTCTCGAAAAATTCATAGTTTCTTAATAAACACTATTAACTAATTTTAAGAAATTCGAATAATTCGCTTTCGCAATCCATCCTGAATTGCTTCAAACATTAACAAAAGATAAATACATTTCTTACAAAATGAATCTCACGTACAAGAAGCAGACGACTGAAAAACAACATTCGCGTGAGAATCGAGGACGTCGAATCGAGCGACACAAGGAAATCCGCGAAACATTCACCCTTATCGTATCTCGCTCTCGCCAATACGAAGCAAGACGGAAAATAGAGGATATCGAAGAATACCAACGGTATCGTAGATTACGTTCGCTTCTGCAAATAAATGTCTCGTATCGCGAGATTCCGACAGCGCGAGGTACGCACGAGCATTGAAAATTGGAAACTCTGCGTGCGTGCTTCGTACTCGACACTTCGCGAAAATGTACGCGAGGAACGAGAGTTACACGTTTGTTTCAAACGCGCGTGTATTTTATTTTACTCGTTCCTCAAAAGTATTAGATCACACGCGCAATTGTAAAACGAGGTTTGATTCATTTTTTTTGCCAAGTGAATTTTTCATGGAAATTTGTCAAAAATTCTATTCGTATTTCCATTTATTCCTGCTTTTGAATGTGTACGACTTCACTGGGCTTCATTTTTATTTCTGGTTCATATATCGTTTTATTCTTTGCAACATTTCCCCTTTTTTTAATTCAATGAAATACTTTCAATAAATGTGTACTCTTTTTTTTGGACGATACAATTATTGCTCGATTTGTCTGTGTCATAACTGCACTCTTTTTTTGTACTCTTGTTTACTGCAGTTTTGGTATTTCTTAGATAATAACAACTTTTTTAACAATTCGTTAAATCATACTTATTTATCTCGGAATATAGGAAAAATACTTTAACCGTGTATTCTTTTCTTGCACTTTTACAAGTGAAGTTTGCAAATTAAATGTATTGGGTGTACAAATTAATCCGTGGACCTTGTTTCGTGGATTTGTTATTTATTTAAAAAAAAAAAGAAGCAAAATACAGTTCAGTCTTGGAAATAATCTCCATCACTTGCTATACATTTATTCCATTTCTCAGGCAGTTGGCGAATTCCCTTTCGAAAAAATGACGGCGGTTTCGAACGTATAAAATCAGAAATGCTGTTACTGACATCTTCGTATGCTTTGAATTTTGAATCGGTTAGATGGTGCTGAAGTGAACGAAAGAGATAACAGTCTGACGGAGCTAAGTCTGGGGAATAAGCCGCACGAGGCACAATTTCCTATCCCAAAGACCAGTCGCTTCAAGAGCACTTTTTCTAAGTTGAAATGCAAAAAGGATGCAGTGTCTAATACGCTGTTTATCCGACGACATAGTGTTCTCCACTGTTTCTTAGGTTATGTCATTAGTCGCATCGAGTCCGATAGGCGTTTTGTTTTGCTAATAGAAGCAACTTCCCTAACACAGCGGGAAAAAAGGTTCAATTCAAAGTAAAGTTACAGCTGATTAATCGCAAGGGCCACGAATTAATTTGTACACCTAATATATACGGAAATATGGAAACCACGGATTCCCTTGCATATTCATCAAGTAATCCGATTTTCATCCCGCAAAGCTCACTCAGTGTTAGCGAAAAAAAATTACAAGGGAAAGGGAGGAAATCGAAAGAGACAATAAAAATTCACCCATGCCGCTGTCTTACACAAAGACTTTACTTCGAGCTTCGTTTCAACCCTTTTTTCTCCACACACAAAAGACACAGCAATGAAAACTTTGATTTTCGACTCGACATTCAGCCAATGAAGCTTTTCTCCCTTTTCTTTTTTGAACTGTTCGTATAGAACAGTGTGCTCCATTTATTTTTTTCATTTTTTTTTTAGAAATTCAGGAAGAACGTGCGGAAAATCGTGGTCGCGTACGGATTGAATCGAATTCCGCGAATCGACGTTGCAGATCACGTATTTTCACGATTTTCACGGTAAGAACGTGGTCCGCAAGCCATTTTTCATTTTTGACGAATGTGAAAACATTTGCAAATGAACGACGAATGTGCAGAAATGCGTAAAAGTGTCCTAATCAAATTTATCTCTGTTCTCTAGAATATTGAGTTTAAGAAAATCTTTAATTTTGTGTAAGAGAAAGTGATACAACAAATGGACACATACCAAAAATTATATTTTTATATTATTTTATGTTTGTTGAAGATAATTTGCTGAAGTGGCTTATACAAAAATTGCTAGAGAAAGAAATAACAGATAGAATGATAAATTGTCTAGATGGAAAATTGTTGTACGTCATTGTATGTAAATTTGGAAGCATCGAACATCTATGAGAAGTTTGGAAATTTATTAGAATCACGATACGACTGATACGAAAAATTCATTTCAATTCAATAGATACGAATTTTATTGTTACGACGGGTAGGCAATATTCACGACGTTGAAAGGCAAAAATATGTTCAAAGGAGCGTGGATAGTTAGTCTTTTCATATTGACAGGGCGTTGTTAATAAAGTTTCGCGCGAAACTCAATTCCTCAATTTTTATAATGAAAAAGGAAAATCATTATGGAGCGTGAATGAGAATACTTTCGCCGTGGCAAATTTTTTTCCAGAATTAAATTACAAATTTTCGTGTTTAAACGAAGTGCTTCCACAAGGAAGTGTCTTTTAATAGATACAATGTCTTATGAAATTTCGAATTTTTACTTTTTATCTTATTACGATGGTTCCATCAAAATAATGATAAATTAATTAGTTTAAATTAGAGCCTAATTCTAAGATTTTGTTTAAGTCAAGATTTATTCTACTCTTCGCCCCTTTCAACACATCAGATATATGTATGTACGTGTTGTTTTTCAGTTATTCATTTTAGTATTTACCATTCAATCTGCTAATTAGTTTTTTAAATTGACTTTTGGCTTTGGTAAGCATGACCCCATCGAAGCAGAGTTATTTCGATTGGTAAAACATATAAGAAAAATAAATAATAAATAAAATCAGATAAAAATAGTAAATAATAAATGCAGGCTACAAGAATTCAATGAAAACCTAAATATTCTTGTACAATTACGAGAGCTAAGGATAAGGGTATTGTTGTGAATTATCGAGAATGTTATTGCCTCGTAATTAGCGACAATTTGACAGCGGAAATTTGACCATGTTACAATATGGTATTAAATGCAATTTAAATATACTGTATATTCAAGAATATTTAGGCATCTTTCATCTCTTCACGTCTTATTAGACTGTCACCAGAAAAATAAGTGTCACAATTAACAAGAACTGCACTAATTAAATAATAAAGTTGAATTTAATCATCGGTCCATTGAATTTAACAATTGAAGCTTAGGGAATAGTTTTCATATTTTCCCGCCTTTTCTCGTATTTTATTCAGAAACACGCATGTACACGTATAAAAGTCGTGCT